AAGGAAGAAAACTAACAACAAACTCAACCCACATGTGACACCAGGTCCAAGAATTGAACTAATGGGAGGCGAGTGACCTCACCACCGCCCAATCCCAGCTCCCCAATATTGATTTTTTATTTCATTGTTTTCATAAACCGTCGCCAAGTGACCTGTGAAAATTTAGGCAGACTTAGTACCAACAAAACAGTCTGTTCAACCAGATAATTTTTGATCAGTGAATCAATTCATGAGTTTATGAGTAATTCCCAGGTGACAGTTATTTTTTTTAGTATTATCATTGTTGAGATCCTCTACTTGGTTCACTGACTCCTGGAATGGGCTATGGATGCACTTCATAAACTAACACAAATGGCTGAAGAAATCTTTGGTTTAGATGCGTTTTGTACTGGCAAACAGATACACAAGCAAAAGGAAAATTTGTTGGGTAAGGTGATTGAGGAATTTTTGTTTCCTTTTATTCTTGACACAATTCTGCAGAGCCCTGCTTGCAAAGTAGTGCCCCTGATTTCTATGAGCTTCTACTAGGGACAATGTGTTCTGATGACTGGGATAATACAGGGGTTTCATTAAGGGCCAGGCACCGGGCAAATTGACCGGTTGTGAGGACGGTTTTGCCCACCTGATTTGACGGTCTGGAGGAAAGTTTATCTTATAAAGAAGTTCAGTTCAAAGAGTTTTGCCCGCCTGTGAAAACCAGTTGCCCTCCTGCAGAAAACATTAATGAAACCCCTGGTTTTAGAATTCTTTATGATATTTGTGGCGCGATGCAGAAGTATAATTGTTGGACTGTGAGTTATGGGGTGATAGTTAGTCCTGTTAGGTAATTATGTTATGTTCCTGGCCAAAAGTTGAACCAGTTACAAGCATGCATTAGCCAATCAGATTCAAGGATTTAAGATACCCACCCAATGAGATGCTTCATAAAAAAGAGAAATTCGTTTTAACCATTTGGTTTTTCTTTATCTAGTGAAAAGTTGTTACCTAAGTGTTGAAAAGCTGAAGGGTATAATTTTCAAATCAGAGGTGAAAGTTTTTCATTTTGTGGACATTCCTCAAGGTGGTAAAAAACTTCTTTTCTCCCTACAACTTAAAAGCAAAACTGGTAAAAGTGAGACTACTGTGAATATTGCAATTATTATTAAAAGAAACATTTAACTTCTCAAGTTTTTATCTAAATGACACTCTTAATTGCTGTTCCATGTATCAATTTTCCTAACAATCACTCAGTCAACCCAACCAGTTGTGTACTTTTTCCAAAATTCATTCTAGTTAGTAGACCATAATAGTTTGCATCTTCCAGTTTCTTGTTAAGTGTTTTACCTATACCCATAAATAAAGGGTTGCAGTATTCAAAATGTGACAATACAAAACTCTTGTAAAGAAGTAATATGGTATTTTCCAGTACTAAGCGCTCAAGGTGGCAAAGTGCGCCTATCAATTTTCCTAACAATCACTCAGTCAACCCAACCAGTTGAGTACCTTAACTCTTTTGTAGCGTGACTATAGCGGCAAAATGGGTTTCAGCGAATTTAAGGAATTATGCAGTGTGTTGCAACAGTGGAAGGTATGGTGACTTTAAGGAGTTCAATATTAAATGAGAATGTACCTGTAGTCTTATATTTCTTTAACCCTTAAACTCCCAAGATCTGATTGTGAATTCTCCCATCTAGCTGCTACACATTTCCTTGTAAACTAGTTACAAGAATTTGGGAGTTACAATATATCAAGATTACAACTTCTACATGATAACTTTGAGTATTCTCATAACCATTTTGCCAGATATTGTATGGATATTATAGGGAGAAGTTACATGTTAATCACTTGAGGAAGTTAAAGAGTATTTATAACAAAAAAACAAACTATGTAGCAAAAGGATGGGGGGGGGAGGAGGGCATTCTTCGAACTGATTATTTTCTAGAAATGGAACATACTTTATGTGTTGGCTGTGCACCAATATGAGCAGAAGTGGTGCTTCGTTTTTGTTGCACTCCGTTCTGTTCATATTATGTAGATATAATTTTGTTCCACATCATGAGGACACCATCCACTTTGTACATTTTTCCTGCCCTTGTTTCCATATAACTGGATAATCAGTCACCTATATTTTGAAGGGAAGTCAAAGAAATGAAAAGGTTACATAAAGATTGAATTGTTATTGTGAACTTTTAATTTTATTTGGGGTGACTTAGGAGATATATATATTTACATATAATATATATATATTTACATATAATATATATATATTTACATATAATATATATATATATAACTAACTGCAGACAGTACTGTTTCGGCCTTTTGGGCCTCATCAGTGCAGTGCTGATTCTAGGATGGAGGTGTGGCCATAAAGCCACCCCAAATGATTCCACAATTGCAATATCATCTAAGCCATGCCATATTTATTTATAACTTTTTAACAAATGTGCGGCCCGAATTTGATTCAACACATGCCCTAAAATAATTGATAAAAGTACTTGTGTTTATGCTGTATTACAGACAACCTTTATGCAGCACGACAGAGACAGGTCAGGAACAGTGGAGCCCCACGAGCTGCATGCTGCACTCTCTGCTTTTGGTAACTTCGTTAGTTCTTTTTTCTTTTTTTTTTTTTCTTTTCTAATTTTTTTTTATATCACATCCACAACTTATAACTATACTTTGTCAGCTTCTTGAAACCAAACACCTCAAAGAGAAAATGTCTAAATGTCTTTTTTTTTTTTTTTTGTCATAATTTTCACCCAGAAGTCATTAGCAACCGATTGCGGTATGTCCTGTTATGTTGATCCTCTTGGTTCGAGATAACGAGAGTCGAGATAGCCGTGGAAAAATTAAGGAGATACGCTATCATCGACTTCAGTCCACCAAACCCCCCCCCCTCCCCTCCCGCCGGAACACGGATACTAGTTTGATATAGGGGTTGTAAGTCAACGATCTCCAGCCCAGTCCACCCCTGCCAACTGTCTTCATTGAAACCCCCCGTGTTGATTGGTCTTAATGCAAAATTTCGTTTTCTCCCAACTCTGTAGGTTATCGATTAAGTCCCAATGCACTGAACATCGTCGTCAAGCGTTATTCAACCAACAATCGAATCACCTTCGACGACTTCGTTGCTTGTTGCGTGCGATTGAAGGCCTTGACAGGTACGAATGTAGCCGTTTGTTCTGACAGGTTTACCAATACGTTTTCGATTTTATTTCTTCTCTCTTTGACCACGGCTGGTGTTCATGTGTTACATTGGTTTCGCTTGGAGAGAAACATGAGAAGCATGTACCCTTAAGATGGTGGCGACCTCTTGCTTTCAGTGATACGTTCAAGCGTGCTGTAAAATTTATGGCTTTTTGTCGGCTTCTTAGCGCGGAAATGACGCTCCTCCCCTCGCGCGTAACTCGCGCGTAGCTCTCGCTTCGCGCTTGCCTCCGTTCGCCTGAAAAACACACAAAAAAATAAATCCTTATCCGTAGCCCATAGACTTCTTGCCTTGAGGAAGTCGCGCCAATGTCTTAACTCGAATGCAATAACCCGTACTCATGTTTCCTGTTTTGTCATTCATTTTCTTCTTTGGCTTGTTAAAGTCGTGAACGCTTTAAAAGACCGCGCTCTTATATTATTATTTTTCACTCTACAATTCACGTTCAAGTGAAGGAGTCAAAGGGGTGTGTTAAGTGGAGAGAGGGTGTGGCTTTTTAAGACGTTTAGAGTATATGTATTATAATCTTTGTTATTTCCACGGCCAGCGGGTTGTTGAATTTACCCTAAAGTGCTTGACTTTTCAAGATTGAAAATCAATTGTCAGTTTCTACAATTTTGTTCCGCAGATCAATTTAGAAGGCGGGATACGGCTCAGAACGGGATGGCAACTTTCCAATACGATGACGTGAGTCGCTCTTTTATTTTTAAACCGTGAATCCTTGATTAAAATGTAACCTCTCCCTATGATATCCATACTTACATACATGGCAGCGCCCGCGGGCAAGATGAAGCGAATCCTGTGTTCTTATTGGCTACCCGAGCGGACAAGATCTCACTCGGTGGCCTCATAGTCTGTACTGTGGACGCGAGTCGACGGGTCCGGGTTTGAGACCTGGGGTCCGTTCTTCGAAAGTTCCCGGTGACCTAACGGGCCCGGAGCTATATTTTATAATCAGGCAAAATTTGAAGAATAGAGGCAGGTTCTGTCACCCTTACCAGTCCATGTTTTTTTTGTTTTTTTTTTT